TATATATATATATATATGTGTATATATATATGTATATATGTATATATATATATATATATGTGTATATATATATATGTATATGTGTATTATATTATACAGAATATTATTATATGATATATATATTATACTGAATTCCCTGTGAGGGTGACTAAAATAAGATGTCCTGACGTGTTTATCAAACTTTTATTTACTGCTTTTTTTCATGTTGGAATAAAGGTTAAATATTTAACTGTAAAGTAGTAATGCGTGTTTGATACCTTAATTTTTTTGCATTAAATCATTCTGGGATGTGGCACAGCCCTACCTAGAACATGTTCCACCAGCCGCCACTGATGGAAGCCCTGAGAGGCAAGTGAGAAAAGGGGGAGAGTTCCGCCAGGATAAGTTACTATTTTTCATCTGTGAAAACGTGTGTGTGTGTGTGTGTGTGTATGTTTTAGGTATGTTTGTATGAGTGTATGTATATTTGTAACTGATAAAGAAGAGACAGAAGAGAGAGGGACGACTCAGCAAATAATAATGATAAACTAAATACTAATGACGATAATAATAATAAATAGTAAATAAGTTGCCATCTGTTGATCCCTTTCCATAGACCTTCCAATTTTTGAATTAGAATTTTTTTTTAAAGCTTTTCAAAACACTTTTGCTGATCTGGGGGCACATATTCCCTCGAATTACAGTGGAATTTAATTTAACATGTTATAAAACACTGACCTCAGATCAGTGTTTTTACTGTGGTCTCATGAGCCGCCATGAGAACGAATCCCGCTGCTTTTATTTCCAAGACCCGCCTTTTGTAGCCAGTTGAGGTGGAAACGATTGGTTCGGGTTAGAAAATATATTCAGAATCAGGATAGCCCATTGGTCAGCACATAGGACTTGGAACGAATCAGGTTACCGGCACCTCGACGACGCGTGTTACGCCTGGCCAATCGTAGCGCTTGAATGTGGCACGGGGCGGGTCTTGTGAAGACTTTGCCACGCCCCCTTGTTCTATTGTATCTGCGGCTGCGCACATGACGCACTGAGCTTCAGTGTGTAAAAGATGGCTCCCTTTCCAGACGAGGTGGATGTTTTTACTGGCCCACACTGGCGAATGAAGCAGCTGGTGGGCTTATACTGCGAAAAGGTGTGTAGGAATAAAAGTCGTTCGTAAATTTGGAGTTAAAAAAAGGAATATATGACGGTGTATGTGTGGCCAGCGGACGGCTGAACGTCAGCTAGCTTGTGTCCGTAGCATTCAGCTAACGCCTGCTAACTGGTTTTAGCTAGCTTAACTAACTGTCTTCAGAGATACCTTGTTGTGCAACATGACTTAAAGCGTCACAACACGGATTCTAGTGTTCCCTGAGACTAACAGTGTAAAAAAACATTGGAAATGTACGAGCTGTCTGTAAAAACTAAAAATAAAATAGAGTGAGATTAAGATAAACTGAGTTAGCGACACTAGCTAGCATCGCCAAAACATCCACTGCTCATATTATATATTATAGTTTTACAGTTTTTAATGCACCAGCAAGCATTTTCATATCTGTCACTGTCAATATAATTACTAGACACTGTATATATAGTGTGTAAACATTTATATATATATATTGTACATGACCATACAGTTCATTTAAGTTAGTGTTTGTATAGTTTACAACTGACAGAACACTTGACTTTTATTAGATGTTTTGTTTGTATTTTATTGTTGGTCTTTACCTCTTTTTACATATATTGATATGGTATATATACACCTATTGTTTCATATACTTGTGTCCACAATAGTGCTGTCTATTTATTATTCGTTTGTTCAGCTTTGTTTTCCTTGTTCCGAGCTGTCGTTCTGTGTCTGTGTACATTGAGATCAATGCTAAAGACCAGAGTCGCGTTACTTGTATGTACAAACATACAAGGAACAATAACAGAATAACAAAGTCAGAATCAATAACAGTGATTCTGATAATACATGGCCGGTGTGTTAATGATTTGATCTTTAAAAGGATATTAGTATAAACACAAATGATGTTACATTGTGTTATGAATGATTATTTCTTTGTTGTTTTTTCCCACAGCTGTCTAAAACCAACTTCTCCAACAACAAAGATTTCCGCTCGTTTCTTCAGTCGCTGTGCGCCACCTTTAAGGAGTTCAAGATGCACGAACAAATTGAGAATGAGTACATTATCGGCCTGTTGCAGCAGCGCTGCTGCACTGTGTACAACGTGCACTCTGACAACAAGCTCTCAGAGATGTTGTCCCTCTTTGAAAAAGGGTTGCACAACGTCAAGGTAAATGTGCATCACTGCTTTACAGAATAGTTTATTGTTCTGCATCTAGACTTTACTTGGAGGGAAACACGTGCATGAGTTCTGCAGAGCTCAGCTGATAGTTGATGCTCAATGGTGGGGTAACACTCTGTCATTAGAGTAACTATTATGTTGGCCACACAAAGATTGCAGAACCAACAACAATTGTTATTTTTCATCTATACAAGTTAAATGTAAATATAGGAAATTAATGTGTATCTTTTAAAACGTAGAGTAATTTATTTTAAAGCTATTTTGCAAATTGTATCCGTTTTCATCAAACTATTCAAAAGAGAGTTTTTGTCATTATTGTAAGGGGTTATAAACTTGAGGTTTTATTTATTAGAAAAGGTCCAGATGCATAAAGAAGGCTGAATTGTAATAAAAGCGTTTGGGTGTTGGGTTTTTGTGATCTGCTTAACAAGAGAGAAGACTTATTGTTCTCTCTCTCGGGGCTTTCCAGAATGATGCAATTGTGTAAATCTTCACTTCCACTTTGTCCCGGCCAGTGTTGAAATAGTCGCAATTTTTTTATGTAGTTGGAAGACCGTATTTTGACTTTTCCTCAGTTGTTAAAGAGACTTTTGCCGAATATTCAACTTGAAAAGGTTGTAGACATAATGACCATGTGACCATGTCTAGCGGGTTGATTTAACTGATGGATGTTGTAGACAGGATTGCATGAATTAATAATTGTTGTGTGTTTTAGAGTGAATACGAGCAGCTTAACTATGCCCGGCAGCTGAAGGAGCGACTAGAAGCTTTCACACAAGACTTTCTGCCCCACATGAAGGAAGAAGAAGAGGTGAGATGTTCACATTTATTCTTGTTGTTAATGCAAATATCTTTTAATTCATTTATTCCCCAAAGAATGGGTAAGACTAAATTGTGTTCCTAAACAACAAATGTAAGAACATGTGCTCACACCGTCGGTGACTTTCACAGCAGCAAGCTGTTTATTAACTGAGGAGGTTCGTTGCAGGTGTTTCAGCCGATGCTGATGCAGTACTTCACCTACGAGGAGCTCAAGGACATCAAGAAGCAGGTGATAGCGCAGCACTGCAGCCAAAACCAGTGGGACTGTGCTGCTGAGGTGCTGAAGGGCTTCAGTCTGTGGAGTCAGGCAGAGGAGCTGCAAAAGGCCTTTAAATATGCCGACCACGAGAAGACCGATTATGGTGAGTGAACGTGTTCCTTAAGGTTATTTTTATGGTAGAAGTCATAAGTAGTTAGAAGGAATGCTTCATGTTTGTCATACCAGGAGCTGTTGAGTTGAGTTCAGCTGATCACTATCTGCTCACAGCCGATACAGGACTGACTAGTTCTCCCAGTGTTACTGTGTGCAGCAGGCCTCCAAGTCTGTCTGTCACACTGACAATGGTTCACACATTTGATCCTTAATTGTCTTTAATTAATGAGCTGTGTGCCTCACTGCATGGAAGAGACTGGGATCATTCTTCTATGTGTAAAGAAACTTTAGGCTGGACTTAAACATTACTTTCATAACTTTGTAAAACAAAATGTAAAACATAGAAATAAATGCACAGAATTTAAATGTATTATAATAACGGTTTCTGATACCAAGTCGGCCTATTGTCACCGATATCTGTCTCGGTATCGGTGTAAACTCTTCTCTAATGAAAGCAGCTAGCAGCATTAGCTCCAATAGGCGCTAAATCTCAAGGAAAGTCGCCAAGTCATGAGCACCGAGGCTGCCACGTGGCTGCTGTCAGCACTCACAGCTGTTAAGATAAAAGCTGGTGGAGGACAGAATACGTGCAGGGAGACACGCCGGCGGCCACAGGAAGCAGAGCTTCTTCTTCTCTTTATTTATTCAGGGTTCTCATGCATCCTGGGAAAACCTGGAAAACAGTTGACCAATATTCAATTCACTGGAAACGCATAAAATGAGAGAGAAAAAGAAATGTCCTGAAAGATATTCTCCTATTTTACTTGAGCTGAGAAGGATGTACTCGTCCATCAGAGCTCCCCAAACGGATTACACTGCCGTCTGAAAGAGCTTCTTTATGTGGAGGATCATATCAATGTTAGTTTGTGGACGACAGTATTTTAAATAGGCTGCTCTCGGTTATGTTGCTGAGAACGCTGTGAACGTCACATGGAACATGTTTTACAAAGTCTATTGTTGCTTTTACAGCCCTGGCTGTGCAATAGACTTTTTATCACAGCAGACAGTTTGATTTTAGGAGAAGTCTAATCAATCATAAACGATGCTGCATCCTATTTAAGTGTCGCAGTAAAGCTTTGTTTATACTCGAGCATGTAGCAGTGCCAAACTATGAGTCATCAGTTTCATGAGAGGATGAACTGTTAGTTTCAGTATTTGAGTCGGTTAAAGGCGACGCTGTTTTGTCCTCTTCAGACCTGGAAAAGAACAAGAACCCTTCAGCCCACATCTCCCAGCTTCCTGCTGAAATCATGCTGAGGCTCTTCCACTATTTGAGCCCTGAAGATCTGAGTCGCTGTAGTCAAGTGTGCAGCTCCTGGTCCGATCTGGCAAAGACCGGCTCCCTGTGGAGACACCTGTACCCTGTACGCTGGGCCAGAGGTAGGCCGCTCATTACCTCACGAAGCTTCACGCTCCCTGCAAAAGTAAATACTTCATTGCATTGATTTTAGTCCGTCATGGCGCTGAATGTTTTTTTGCCTCTCTTCTGTAGGTGATTATTATACTGGCCCCCCTGGGGTCCTGGACCAGGAGCCAGATGAGGAGTGGGTGACGAGTCGGCAGAAAGAGGGTCGGGCCTATCAGGAGTGGGACGAGGACGCTGATGTCGATGAGTCTGGTAAGGAAAGAAAAAGGTAGAATAATATAAAGAATGGGCCGTTAGCTTCAAACCCTTCAACCTGCCTTTGGCTTTTTTTTTTAACTGCCACCTAAAAAAGTACTAAAATGTGTCTTTAACACTCTTATCAAATGGCTTTAGCTGGGTGGGTTTGACATTTTTAATATTTGTTTAGGGTGATAACATCTGGCTGTGTTTGCTCTCCAGCCAGGGCTCTCCACATTCACTCACACGCTCCTGTGATGAATTCAGTCACCTCTTAAGGCCGTCGGGTCTGGTGAGAATAAAGCTGAGTTCATACTCACCGTAGTGGAGGATAAATGACGGGATCACGGCCGGCGTGGAGACTCCACAAGTGGTCGTGCACACTTTTTGTATAACTTGTTGCCTGATCACGTGAAAACCCTATTTACGTCTGAGGATCATACAAAGATGGTCAGTTCGTTTTTAGAAGTTGTAGAAACACGAGGTGTTAAAAATCTACATTTGAGTAAATATTTATCAGCTAAATCAAATAGTTTACAGGATCTTCAAACATAGTTTGTTTATAATACATCTAATACTTGACTTCTTTCTTTACAGGGTTTGTATAAAGACAGCAACGTAGTCCATAAATATGAGATATGAGTGTACAGATGATTCCAATCCCTCCTCATCATCGGTTACTCTCGTTGTCTTCTTGCTTCTTCGCAGTCCATTTTGTTTGGACGCGTTTCGGAGAATAAAGTAACGAACATCGCACAGAGCAGAAACGCTGTCTGCTGTCTGCAGAGGCGAGAGTATAAGCGAAGCTTCATCTCTGTTGCCGTATTCCATTTCTTTGTCTCAAAAGAAATAAACATCCCTTCTTTTATAACCTCTCCAGACCGAGTCCCCGAGACAAAGGTCTTAAGAGGCTGACCTCAAATTTGATGCTAACGTTGGCTGTTGTGGCTAGCCTTGTTCTGTAACCCAACGTTACCAAGAGCTTCTCGGCTACATTACCGTCTCCATCGTATCCCAGCTGCTGGTCCGTCTCACACTTCATCTGGTTGTTGAGGTAGTCGTGTTTCTGGTCACCACATTAATGAGACGTTCCCCCATTTTGGCAGCAAGCTACCTGTAACAAAGGTTTCATGAGTTCTACATCTGACCTGAATAAACTGTCCATGTTCCTGTTCCTCGTCTCTTCAGATGGGTCTAAACGAGGCTCCCTGGCTATCGACACCGCTCAGCGAGAGAAGAGGCTTCTGAACGGGATCATCCAGAACCTCCTTCCAGCCGTGGGGCTGTCTGTGAAGTCCATCGTTCTGGCCTACAGTTCTACGGTCTCCAGTAAAATGGTATGCAGCGCAAAATCTTTATTTTGACTTAGTAATCGGACGTTATGAAGATTGTGTCTGAGCTGTGATACTTTTGTCCTTTTCTTTCAGGTGCGCCAGATCCTCAATCTCTGCCCCAACATTACTCACCTGGACCTGACCCAGACGGATGTCACCGATTGTGCGTTTGACAGGTAAATATTAAAGGTCAACCCGGTCGATTCAGTTTTCTTATGTACGATAAACTCCTCACCGTGTTCTCCCTCTTTCAGCTGGTCGTCTCTCGGAGCTTGTCTCTATCTGGAGCACCTGGATCTGTCGGGGTGTGAGAAGATCACGGACTACACCACGAAGAAGCTGTCCGTCGGTCTGGGCGACCTCACGTCCTCCACCTGCTTTGACCAGCGCTCAGACCGGCGGGCCAAGCTCCTCAAGAGTTCCTCGATCCCCATCACGCTCACGGAAGAGAGGAACCTGCACCCGGCCAGGCACCAGCGGCAGGCCATCATTTTCAAGCCAGGGACGGAGCGCTGGGGCGCCGCCGGCACCCCGACGCAAGTGTGGGTCCTGGACCCCTCGGACCTCGCCGACATCGAGGACACCGCTGAGTGGAGCCGCCGTGGTGGGCTGTCTCTTCCCGTGGCGGAGAGCTTCGTGGAGGCGCAGCTCGCGGGGAGCTCTTGCTGTTGCAGGAGGCGCGGGCACAGGACGGGCCCAAACGCCTCTTTCTTGCATCAGCAGTACGCCAGTATGTCGGGGGAGATGCTCTGCGGTCACTCCACCTGCTGCACCGGCGACACGGCCCTCAGGACTTTTGCCGGGCCTCGGTGCGAGTCGGGCTCCACCAGGAGCGGCTCCGCAGAGTTTCGGACTAAATGCTCCTCTTTTGGGGGCCTGCGGTGCCCCGAGCGGGAAAACAGGACTGACCGGTCGGAGGCAAAACGCTCACTGAGGTTTCTCAGTTTCTCCGGATGTTATCAAGTCACAGACCTGGGCTTGAGGTAAAGATCTCTCACACACACACACACACACATCATTTAACATAGAGGTTAGTATCTTCAGACACCGATGTGATGCACTCAGATGAATGACACCTGAAAAACAACATCGTGTAGTTATTTTCAGTGCCAGCCGATAACAGAAGGTGGTGCAGTGACTAAACTTGTGTGGGTCATTTGTTCCACTTATCTGATGAGTTACGAGTGTTTGTTCACAATAAATCAAATGTAAAAGAAGAAATGCAGGCCGTCATTCAGTTATTATCACCGTAATACAGATTATTAGAGAAAGCCGTTGTGCAGAACATTTGCTATAGTCAACAGTTTTTCCTCTATTATGTTCAGACTGCATTATCAGTGTGTGTGCACGTTGCTGTATCTGTAACCAGGCTGCACTGTGTGTGTTTCAGGGCTCTGTCGCAGCGTGGAGGGCTTCCTTTCCTGGAGCATCTCAACCTGTCCGGCTGCCTCTTCATCACTGAGGCGGGGCTGCAGGAGCTGGTGTCGGCCTGTCCGTCCCTCAACGACGAGCACTTCTATTACTGCGACAACATCAACGGTAACAAGTGAAACTGTAGCAAACTGCACCGCGTACACAGTCGGAGGTTTTAGCTCACATCGTCTGACGCAGCGACTCCCAAACTGGTTCCTAAAGAGTGATTTATTTTAGCCACAGATGAAGCCGCCACGCCGTGAAAATGATGTAATCACGACTTGACCGAGGTTTTCAGACTTGCTTTTACAAAGAAGGCCAATTAGTTTTTATAAGCTTTAGAAACAGGAAGTCTTAAAAATCTTCATTTGTGTCATGATGTCAGATGTATACGCCAGACACCGTATACATCTCTGGTAGACCTGTCAATCACCGTGTAGCCCCGCCCTAAAACATCCCCTGCTTTATGGTCTGTGTGACTCTAAATGGACCATAATGTACTAAATGAACATCATGCTGTATTGAAGAAGACTTGAAACTAGAGATTGAGACCATAAACTCATGTTTACAATGTTTACTGAGGTAATAAATCAAGAGAGAAGTAGAGTCATTTTCTCATAGACTTCTATACAACCAGAGGAGTCGCCCCCTGGTGGACACTAGAGAGAATGCAGCTTTAAGACATGAAGCTTTGACTTCACTCGGCAGAACCAGAGGTTACCGTCTGGGAATAATATGTACTTTTTGGGGTGAACTGTCCCTTTAAACATGTGAATGTGAGTAGATCTATAACAATGTGTTCCAGCTGTAACAAACGATCACTAACTCACCTGCATAGTGTCTTAGTGTAAGGAGCAGGTGCTACTGAGGTGGAAGGTAAGTAGGCATTACAGTAGCTGCTATGACGCCGTCAGTATTCACTTCATTTTATGTATTTGTTATGAATATAATGATTGATATTTTTATCTTTCCGGTATTGTTCATGTGTCCTGTAGCTTGTAGTTCCGTAGGTGACCACTGTGTGGTGTTTCTCTGCAGGTCCTCATGCAGACACGGCCAGCGGCTGCCAGAACCTGCAGTGTGGTTTCAGGGCCTGCTGTCGCTCCGGAGAGTGATCCGCCCGGCAACACTCTCCTGAAAACAAAACAAAAAGATAAATATCACGTCTCCTTTTTTATGCACTTTATCCTGGAATACCGGTTTATGTATTTCATGTCACTTCAAAACAAAATGTTTCTGGATGAAACGTTTTTTGTTGCTCCTGTTATTTCCATCTATATTAAATGGAAATAATCTTTTTAGGAAAGGAAAACACAAAAGGGGTGACGATGGATTTGAAGTGTCTGAACATTTTGTATATACGTCTTCTTCTCCTGCTGTGTGTTTAGTTGATCCGTTTATAATATCAGCAAAGTGTAGACCGACATCTTCATCATCAGTTAAACACGCTGTCACTTATTGGAGAGCAGGATGTACAGATATGAGAACTGCTACACGAGTGTATTCTTAAACTTTGTGAAACCAGATGTTCACTCTCACCAAAACAAGCTCTTTCTTCTTCATGAACTCCAATGTTTAATAAACGGACCAATGTTCACCTGAGAGGGACTTGAGCTCATCACTGAGGAGCTTCTAGAAGATTCAGAACGATTCCCTTCAGATTGAGAGAAGCTCGCACTGGTTTCAGGAGATCGTACTTCATCTTCTCTGCAGCAGAAATGTATTTTGTGCATGAAGAGTTCTGTTGGAGATTCATAAACGGAACAATAAAGAAGTGTCGTGGGGTTAAAAGCTCTGTTGTTTATTGTTATTAATACTTTTGTGAACAATTCACCGATGTAGAAATGTGACATTTTATTGTCTTAAAATACATATATTTGCATAACACGACATTAATTATTAATGTAAAGACTTTGTACTGGTTGTTCATTTTGAACTGATTTTAGGATTTATCTTACCAGTGTTATATTTTAGTGTACGGTCTATCTACATATTCACTGCTCTGCTCTCCCGTATGTACGGAAGCCCTGAGAGGACAAGAGAGCACAATATCTGGAAATCCTTTTTCTAAATCTGATCTAAAGAGTTTTCTCTGCCGTGTTTATGAGTGACGGGATATTCTAAGTTCCTTCATTTGTATCTTAAACACTCATATTAGTTTTCTTGTCTAAACTCTGCAGTTGGTTGTTCTCTGAATACCAAAACATTCCAGAATAAAGTGCTTTATACAACATGCTTATTAAATATGTATAAAAACAAGTACAAATAAATGAGATTATCGTCATAAAATAGTGCAAATTAAAAAAGGGATAAAAGATAACATAAATATTTAATAAAATATTATAGATTTGACTAATTGCAAAATTAATGAACTGAATGTAATCAGGAATGTAGTAAATATATATTTACAGTGATAAGAATAATGTATACATATATTTTTTAAATATATATATATATATGTAATATATATATTATATATATGTATATACATACATATATATGTATATATTTCTGAGGTATAAACATTTGTGAAACAATAAGTAAAAGTATATAAAGTGTATTTGGAGCAAAGGTTTCTGTGGTCGCTGCATTTCAACGATTGGCTTGTGGTTGCTATGGGAAATGTCCAGGCAACAGTTAGGGGGTGGAGACTAACGGCCCGTCATTCACCGTGAAAGATGACGGACAGCCGCATAAACCAATCCACGGTCGAGGAATATGAAGGCGGCCAATGAAACACGCAGCAGAAAAAAATCACCTCGTAGTTAGGTAGAGAGCGCAAAGGGCAGTCGCAAGTTACCAGAATCTCTGCGAGACAGCAGCGAAAAAACAGACTAATGGTAAGCTAAGTATTTACATATACATAACATGTATTAACCGTGAACTACCGAAGTGAGCTCCTTTAATTATGTTACTCTGTGTTGCGGTCACTGACAGGACGTATATTTTACGTAGGGGGGTCTAGTGTTAGCCGCTAATGTAACGGTAACGTTAGCTATGTTGCTAACAGGTAACGTTAGCTATGTTGCTAACAGTTAGCTATATGGTGTGTTGTCCTCTTTGAATCAGAACCAGAACTGTTTAATTGCCAAAGTATGTTGCACATACAAGGAATTTGACCTGGTGGAAGGTATATAACATTAACATTGAACAATCAACACAGTGCAAAAAATAGAAACATATTAAAATGTACAATAAAATATAGTGCCCAAACAAACAGAAAACAGTACTATAAACAAGTATAATGTAAGTGTAATGTAAAAGTGTCACGTGTATTTATATATAGAGACATAGAAGGGATGTGCAGAGGAGTGTGAATGTGTATTTACAAGACGACACACAAGATTACTTTAAATAAATAAATAAATAAATAGATGGATGGATACATACATGCATACATACATTACTACTACTACTACCACCAACACCAACACTGAACCCTCAGCTTTCTGATCAACCCCTGACCAACATGTTCTCTTTGCAGACCCGGCATGAGGAGCCAGTCCTTCCACTAACATGGACAAGTACGAAAAGGTGAAGAAAATTGGCGAAGGTTCATTCGGAAAGGCCATCCTCGTCAGATCCAAACAGGATGGACACCAATATGTCATCAAGGAGATCGGCATATCTGCAGTAAGCTGCTAATGTTACACAAGCTCCACACGTCACCATTAATGTGAACTCTCTAATGCTTCCTTTTCTCCTTCTCTGGTCCTTTTCTTGTGACAGATGTCCAGTAAAGAAACGCAGGAGTCTCGGAAAGAGGTTGCCGTTCTTGCCAACATGAGTCATCCCAACATCGTCCAGTACAAAGAGTCTTTTGAAGGTATTCACGCGATCCAGAGATCTCAGCCTTGAGCTGAGAGAAGCACAGACGTAACCTCCTGTGATTGTATCCCGATGGACACAACATGAGGTGTTTACCATGACTTCTCTGAATGTCTTCTAACACGTTTCTTTAGAGGGGGGCTGCCTGTATATTGTGATGGATTACTGTGAGGGCGGAGACCTCTTCAAGAAGATCAACTCTCAGAAAGGAGTGCTGTTCTCAGAGGAGCAGGTAAGCCTCTCATATTCTTCACATATCATATTAACTAATGCTGCTCCATATCTTTGTATTAAGACCCTTTTAATGTCTGCTTTCCTTTGGGTTGTTCAGCCATTAGAATTCTAAAAGATGTCGATAGGAAGTTGATCCTGTATGATGCTGTTTCCCCATCTTCTCCCCGCCCCAGATCATGGACTGGTTTGTGCAGATTTGCCTGGCGCTGAAGCACGTGCATGATCGAAAGATCCTCCACAGGGACATCAAGTCACAGGTACTTCTTCCTTTAGACCTCCAGATCTTCCCTCCTAACTCGCTCATCTGTCCTGTATTTACACGTCTTTTCATAACGTCCACGTAGAACATATTTCTGACAAAGAATGGGACGGTGCAGCTTGGAGACTTTGGGATCGCAAGAGTGCTGAACAGGTGTGTGTGATATGTCATCTGAATAGATTCACAAGTCTCTATAAAGATTTGTGAACAGTAAAACATAATGCTATCGATTCTCTTTTAATTTCTCAGCACGGTAGAACTGGCGAGAACGTGTATCGGCACGCCGTACTACCTGTCACCAGAGATCTGTGAGAACAAACCGTACAACAACAAAAGGTACTGATGATGTATGTTGTTTTTCATGTTTGTGGTGTGAATGAATATTTATTAGAAACACACCAAACTGAGTGGTGCGTGATGAGGACGTTGTCTTCGGGGGATGTAAAGGTCTCGTGTCGCCTCTTTATTGAGTGAAGCTGCTCGTCTGTCGCTGCAGCAGGATGTCGGTATTGATTTCCTCTTTAACTAGTTTAAGTGTGCATGACATTTAATCCACTTTAGTTCCAACCGATGAAGTCAATTCAGCAGAAACTCAACGTCCTGTGATTAGTTTTCTCAGCGAACAAATGCGTTTTCTTTCTCCATTTCAGGGGAGACAAAAATGTATTAATAGATATTACAATAAAATGTCCACAGTTGTTTACTTGCATTATTTTTTGAATTACTAGTTTTCTGAAAATGTATTTTAAATATCTAATTATATATGAGCTCATTTAGATCCATTTCCAGAACATAAATCTGAATGTTAGTAAAAGCAGGTTCACTGTTCTTGTTTCATGTTGTTGACATATTAGAGTCAAAGGTTTTTACATTTATGATATCTCTTTATATCACTCCATCAACCAGAAAATACTGTCAACAGCCACAAATACATCCTTGTTCTCCATGTTGTATTAATAAATGTATAAATGAGTGTGTGAGTGGTGTGTGAACTAACCCCTCTGTGTGAACCTTCAGCACACAGAGAGGAATGAACGAGTGAAGTTTGGTGAATGTAAGAGCTGCTGAAGTGGAGATTTATCATCAGAGTCTGAGAACAAACTCATTTAGAGGAAACGTCCTTTAAAGAGACGTTTAGTTCCATTACAGACATTTAGAGACTCTACAGGTGAACACATGAACTCAT